ATCACCCGTTATATAAGAATCGTCAACAACAGAGTATACAGATAAGATGTTATCATTTAATTCCTTCCAAAGATAAACACTATGCAAATATCCACGAAACGGCAGTTGTAGTCTTTTCTGCTAGTGTTTTAAAACACTAATTTGAGCAACGTTATTTCGCAATTTCGATCTTTTGTAAACCTGGGGTGATGTATCAAGGTCTAAAGTAACCGTTTTATCAATTTTTGAAAAATCAAGAATGAAATCGCTAGTAGCACACAGTGTCGACGTTTTCATTGTTCTCATCCATTTGGTGGTCGAGACATACTACCAGTAACCAGGACGTTGAATCCCAAGTCGGCATTTTGCGATTCAAACACACTAGGGGTTCGAGATCTATTCATTCAAGTCGTTAGGATAAATACGATATAGAAAAAACGACACAATGCAAAAACTACGGAATTCATAATGTGGGAATAACATTAACAGAAGATACAAATAACAGTTCTTACGTCAGCAGCACTAGCCGGAGAATAGTCACATGCGTCGGCGTTGTCGTTACCCGCACACACGGCAACGGGATATCCACCATTGACAAGATTGTTAACAGCAGTATTGAGGGCTAGTGACAAACTACCATATATGGATATCGATGCCACGCCTGGCTTAGATCCACCCGCGAGAACCTGTTCTAATCCTGAGTGAATATTACGACAAGGAAACAACAACAACAAATAACGACAATCATTTAGAAACGTTATTTTTAATTACATGTGTTATGAGCGATAATACTTAAGGTTTTATACTGTGACAGTTTAGGAGGAGAAATTAGGGTTAGGGGTAGGTTAGGGATCCGTATTTTTCAAAGGTTATGGTTAGATTTTGCCATGGTTTGGGAATTGACACATTGTTAATAATTATTCATCAGCGTAGTTATCACAATGGCGACGAGAACCAAACTCATCTACACCAACGCCTAAATGACGTGTTCAGTATACGTGCGTTTGTTTGTTTGTTTATTACTTCGTTACGTTTTTGTTACATTCGTTACTTTATGTCTAGGTTCGTTAGTCCAGTAATTTGCAAAACGACCGAATAAACAATTGACCTAATAATTTAGTAAGTTCTGCGACAGATATTTGTGTGTTGACGATGATATATAAATTATGCAACCTACCATCGATTACCCAGGACCACAGAGCTACGCTGTTACAATTCAATACTCTCACATCCCAGAGGTTTGCTTTCTTTGCAACACCAAAGGTGGCGCCAGCCAAGGTCCCAGAACAATGCGTTCCGTGTCCATTGCAGTCTCCGGCTGGATCCTGTTAGTACGAATAGTAAGGCTCAACATCTATAATTACATATCCACTCAACTTACATGTAAAATGCAAGAAAGTAAATGTAGAAGTTACTAAAACATACTAAATTTAGGACCAAGTGCGTTATCGCTTCAACAGAACAGTACTTTAAATTTACGTTTCCAGCTTCATAACATGACCGTGCGAGTATAAACCCAATTTGAAAGTTGTTGAAACACTACAACTACAACTCACTGTTGATATCTATGTTTAAACCAATGGGCTATAAAAACCATTACGTTCAAACCAGTATTTCAACAAACTGAAAACTTCAACTCACGTAATTCATCAGTATATTTTGGGACTTAATACAAAATACAAGTTTTCGCTTTGCCAGAAACAATTGAGTAGGGGGGGGGGGGTGTTATACGTCGACGAACACTGATTCATTTACAGTTGTAAGACTCTACTACCAAAAACAATTCTTTATTGCAGAAATGCAGACCTGTTGTCCGTCTTGCACGGCATCATAAAAGAATTCTGCTCGCCCCTCGAAATCAACGTGGCTAAGTCGGATTCCTGTATCGAATACGTAGCTATTTACACCGGCACCGTCACCTCTCGGAATGAACACATCATCTAGTGGTAAAAATCGTTGGTCGACTCTATCTAAGCCCCAACTGGCAACGTTTCCTCGGGCAAGACTATCTTCTTCGACATACTCCACTTCTGGAAATGTTCGTACCTGGAAATAAATATGAGATACTATGCAATCCTCGTTTTGCTCAGTATTAAAATTGTTCGCGAAAAAAAGAATGAAGTAATGCATATCAAGTATTTAATCTAGTTACTGTTATTTATATTCAATATAATCAATATAATGTGTTTGTGCATAGGGAAATTTGTAAACTCTGTTGAGCTACTAGTATATCATTTCCGGGTACGTGTGACTACACGTGTGACTACACGTACCCGAAAATGATATAACTCAACAGTTTCACAGTTTAAATATTCACAAATAATATATCAAATTCTTGTGACGTCAAATTTCAATTTAAAGTGTCATAACGATAATTCTTTTCTAGGTATATGTATTGGTGAGCAACCGCGGATAGGCGCCGTTACGTAGTTCATTCTATTTTTTCGTTTAACTTACCCTATTCAAAGTTCTCTCAGTCATTTCGACACTCATGCCAAATATTACGGTATTCCATTTTTTCAAGACCTTTGCACTGTAGAACAATGATTTGTTCAATTTACTGATCCGATTGGAAACCTCTTCAACGTTGTCATCCTGTAATCGATGAATACACATATATGAAGAAAAATGAACGTTTATATTCAAATGAATGTTGATGTAAATTTTGACTTTGTTCGAGTTCTTCGCCACTACTTAGTGTGATTCGACGAGCAGCCAAATCAACTAGGATACGGCAAATGTACGGTTGGACATTGGACATGAAATCGAGTCTTGTTTTGACATTCCCGCTAATACATTGAAATTAACTAAGAATAAAAGTGAAATGAAACTCAATAATTGTGATTATGTATATATATTTATATATAGATGAACAGTAGTAGTTCTTTGTCCGAAATGCGAGACAAAATTTGGTCATTTTGACCCGGGAAAGATCAATACCAGGACATGATAACCCCGACAATCTAATTGGCTGCTAATTTAATTGGGATTTCTTGAACAGAATAAGTTTTAATTTCCTTCATTACCTTCAAGATAACAATATATTTATTTGGAACTCTGTTCAGTTTACTTGTTCGGTATAATGGCGCCGCCTGCGAGGCAGCAACGATTACCACGGCACACAGTAACACGAGTCGCAACATTTCTGTAATGGTAATATTGTATATTTGATTGCATCGCAGAACAAGTATATTGGTTTAAGAGGAACTATTGAGAACAATTTCGTGTACTAGGTTTTAGAAGGTGGTGAGTTAATATCATCATTAATTAATAACTTAATTTCTTATGGAACAACCATTCTTATGAATACATATTATTGAAAAATAATATGGACATATTTAGAGACAATGGTAATTTTAAAACACAGTGTCGACCGATAGTAACAGCATATTCTCATACTGAATCGCAAAAGAGTTACCGTTCCATGAGTTTCCAGTCATTTAATTAAACTTTGCCTAGGCGTGTTTGCCTACGACTTTTTTGATCTGCTAAATGATATAAAAAACGATCGGTTCTTCAATTCGCAGTATAATTTACCCATGACGTGAAATTGAGAGTAGACAATTTAGTGGACAGAATGTTGTTCGAATAGCGCGAGTGGAACACTGTGGAAAAATGATTTTTTGAAGTTCTCAAACACGCGTCTGTTTGAGGTGCGGGTGTCAGATGATCAATGTGCCGAATGACATAGCCGATCACGCACTTTGCTGCAGCATTAAAATAAACTACTTAATTATGATGGTAACTCTGACATCATCATGTCAAGTTGAATGAGTTGATGATAAGAAAGTTTTAAATACATGTTTCGGAAGGTATACAGAACCTGACTTACCAACAGTCTAGACGTCTGGCGTCTGTTTCGTGAATATATGCCCTGGGAACACAAATGCGTTTATCTCATTTAAATTCAACAATTAATTATCCCGGGTCAATTCAGTCAATTTAACCTGGCTATTTTCCCACGCGGAATTTCAGAGTCGCGAAAACAACTTGAATAAAATCAACAATTTCCTTTCAAAATTGCAAAAAATGCTAGCCATGTAGTGGATTGAATCTGTATACAAAAAGCACAACTCCTCAGCCATAGCTGGCAGACATTTTCCCTTCGGCCTACATGAGTACATGAAATCAATATACGATAAATGCACCACTGAATACAAGAGAACCAAGTATGTTTATTACGTTTTACACCTGTCTTTTTAATTACCAATTTCTATCGCAGTAGCATCAGTGACATCAAAATATATTATTTATAAATGGCAATGGAAATTGTGGATGCGCCTTGGTTTGTTGACCTTTATAAAGAATCAAGCCCCAATTTTGTATATAACACATAACAAAGGTCAATGCCATGAAATTCCAATGACATAAAATTCCAATGACATAAAATTCGAATGACCAATTTTTGTGAGTATTGGGGATGTTGGCGTCATATTGATTTCTCGGTACTTCTCAACTGATCAGCTTAATTTCTCCTTATCAAAAAAACCTGATTGGCTGAGAAGTACTGCATACAAAACAGCTTGAGAATATATATATATTAATCTACCTTAAGTATGACGCAAAGAGTGCAGACGCTTCAGCCAAGGAGGCAGCAGAGGTAAAACAAGATTATGCTTTATTGATGTAAATTCAGATTTTTAATCTCATTGCCGGAGAAACTTGTTACAATGTCGTAGAAATTACATATGAACTACAGATAGAAATAAGAAGGTTGATACTTATCTTGAGGCATAAGAAGAACAACCTGCCAAATGTCAGCAGATGATTCAATCGTCAATGATTGTCAAGTGAAGTTGCACTTTACTAATGTAAGAACATTATGCTCCATTCAACAACCTCAATTGGAGGAGAGTGATTCATTGAATGGAAAACTTATCATCCATTTATTTAGTGATTCCAGTTCTCGCAAATACATCTCTAAAGCTATCTTGTGCACCTCAATGAATTACCAATTGGATGGCAAATGAGGCTGCAAAATGACAAAATATTAGAGGAGACATACTTGTTACTCAGAACATTTCTTGACCACGTTCTCCAGCTTTTCTGCGCAGTCGAGCAATTCATGCACCTTCATCCCTTGATAAGTTCATGACTATGCTGATCTCTGGATTCAGTTGCGACAACGAACAGCCATGGTTTATTTTCACGGAGCATTCATCAGGTGTGAGGTTAATAGAATACGCCTAAACAACTTCTGACAGTGCAGACATTGCAAACTTAATAAATCGTATTGGTCTATCGTTGTCCTACTCTGCCCTATTGGAAGTGGAAATAGCAATTTGCGCATAGCATAGATCTGTCTCTCGACACATGAACTAGAACCCTGCTTAGCCTGGAATAAACCAGAACACAAAACAAGTTAAGACCTTCAGATTTTATTGGGTGTTTATCAGTTCACTGCAAAGTCAAACCACTCTGGGATGGATGGGCTACCAGGGAAGAACATATCGATGGACATGTTGAAATAACATCAACTGTGGACTATATGGCTCCAGTGATTTCACATATTACAGATAATGCATATAATAACAGTTCAAAGGGCAAATATCCTATGAGGCATCAAGATGGTCAGCCATACACTATTGTAACTTTGTCGCAAAGAAAGCGTATGCACAAGCTAAGTGTGGTAACAACCCCAGATCTATACTGATATAATTGTTAAACTGGGTACGTTTCACAAATTATGTGCATGTTTTTATTGGCCCTCGATAAACACATGTGATTAAGTGGATTTGAAAATGTTCTTGTTGAATAGACCATTTTCCGTTCACTGCGAGAATCACGCATTATGCGTGAAATCGAACGTAAAAACAGGACAAACAAAGGTCTTAGCGTCGTAGTGGCGTCAAACATCGCGTGGGATTCGACAAACGCGAAGTATTTTGGGGGACATTTTCATGCTTAATAATGTGCTGTCCACATTTGATGATAGACAATTTCGATTAAGTGAGGGTATTCGGAAGCAATATTCCTCTGTCGAAGATCAGGCAGTACGAGTGTTGTGCGACTTTGCACGCACTCGTAAGACCCCGAACGAGTGTTGCACGAGTATTTTCATGTCGTACGATGATGCGTCCTGTCGTACGAGTCCGTTGTACCACCCTAAGACTATTGGAAGACCTGTCTTGCCCCCTTTGCAACGTTGTACGATTTTTTTTTCACCCCCAATATAAGCTCGAGAACTCCTGAGCTTTCATCCCAAATACGTACGATTTTATATATTGCTTGCGACTCAAAGACAACACTTCTACTAACAACAGAACGGAAAAAATATTTTCGAAAACAAAAATTATCGCACGAGTGAGGCGCCAATTGTGAAAGGGGCTTAATCAATACATGTCCAACTTGTTTAACTCATGCCATCAAGAAGACTTTGAGGAGGCTGTATGTTTCCAGCCTGGAAATGCATAAAGTCTGGCTTGTTCTAGAATTCTAAGAAGACTTATGTCCTCTATTTTTGTTTATGTTTACAGTATCTCTGCTCATCTTACTGAATCTCAGTTATACGTATCTCGTAATGCAGTGGACATTAAAATTGAGCAAAACAATAAATAGAATTGTTGGTTTTAGTCACAAAGATTAAAACAAACAATATCAAACTATTATTTCATTTCACACGCAGCCACTTCACCTTGACACTGGAAGCAACAATAACAGGCGGCTAATTAAAGTGGACAATGTAATTGCTGGAATAGATCCCAAATTATGTCAAGCTCTATTTGCTGGGGTTTTCACAACCGGTGCTTTTGTCCGCACAAAAAAAGAGTACAGGACCAGGACATTTGAGAGTGTATCATTGAACAGCTAGAAAAGTTCACATACATTATGTGGTAGCTGCACTGTTCTTGATATGAACACAAGAGGTTCCAAGACAAGTTTCAACCAAGCCAGGAACACTTCTAACTAGTTATAATGGTGTTTATTTGAATATTCTTCCTCCTTGTAAGGCATCTTTGAGAATGCACGTAAAAGAAGATAACTTTCAGGCTTTAAAGCAAGAGGACCGTCACCTGCACACGCGCAGGAATTGAGTCCCAAGCGACGATAACAACGCACGCTAAAAAACGCAAAGGTTCATGGGTAGACGCTTGTTTGTAAACAATGACACGCTATGGCCTTCTGACACATGCGCAGGTGACGACTCCCACGCTTTAAGATGCAATAACGCAAGTATATCAAAATATTCCCAGTTAAGTTGGCCATCTTAATGTTGTCTGGACAAAATGACAATTTCTTGTTCAACAAAACATTTCAAAACATTGATGGTATTATTTATGTATGAAGAAGTGTAGCGAGAAGACTGTGTGGTGTGCTAGATAAGACAGCAATTACATGATATCAAATTCATTCATGTATGGCAACAGCTGACTGACTGTGTACATTTCACTATTATTAGGGAGTATGTGTGTTACCTGATTGATTTCCATGTATAGTCCACTAGTACTAACAAGATGGTCGGCAGAGTGTATTTTCGTAAGCTGTAATCAATTGTTTTTATTTTCCTAATAATGTAATTTAAATAAATAAAAAACGTAAAATCGTAGACAGGGGCAAGGTGTAAAACGTAATCAGCTATTTTATTCGTCCGTAATTTGTTCAAAGATCTTATTTTTTGTAAGCGTATAAAGCATTTTCCACGTTAAATTCGTGCGCAATTTCCAATTTTGATTCTCAAACACAAATGTATTATTATTATATTATAAAAATGTAATTAGGAATTTGCTTGCAGTGTAAAAAGCTTTTTTTTACTGTAAAATGTGTTTACATTTTATTTCCTGTAAAAACGTAAAATGCCTTTTTTTATTTCCTGTAACCTGTACCCCCCTTGCCTCTTCTAACAACCACGTTCAAACTTAAAGCAGGAGGGTCGTCACTTGCGCACGCGCGGGAATTGAGTCCCAAGCGACGATAACAACACACACTAAACACGCAAAGGCTCATGGGTAGACGCTTGTTTGTATGACACGCTATGGCCATCTGACGCATGCGCAGGTGACGACCCCCTCCCCCGCTTTAAGTAGCAGGATCATTGAAATTCAAGCTTATAATTCACAATATTTTGATGTTTGTTGTATCATTTTTCTTGAATAATGTATTAATGTTATGTTTATACAGATTATAAATATGACATTTTAGTGCTTTTACAGAAAAAAATCAACAGTTAAAAATATAATGTTGTTTTAGAGAAGCTATTTGAGGTGGAGTTATGATTTTTCGTCTAAAAACTTATGGCGGCCATATGCAAATAAAATATTATTATGCAAATGATAAGCATTTCTAAAGATCTCATTAGTTTGTTGAAGAAACCTGTAGTACCAGTACAAATTATTATTTTAAAATTGCTTTAGAATGACTAGTTGACACAGAGTTATGTACTCTTGTGATATTAAGGCAACTATTTTAGATTTATGCAAATTAGCCAAATTGTTCAGTTCAAACTTTTCATTAAACAGATTACATATTTTTATGATACTGAGGACCAAAATAAATCAACATATATTTTATATAATCCAAATCCGGGTTTTAGTTCTAAAAATCATTTGATCGAGTGTGTATTATGTCATTTGTCGTTTTCACAGCTATGGGGTAAATGTCGTCATCGTATACATGGTGATGTGATATCACTTAAATTCACTAAAGTCATGTAATTGAGATGTAACACACTTTGCAAAAATCTGTCATCAAAATGTCCTCTGGCAATTACAAATGCGCCCCATCGACATCATATCGGATTATCCGTACTGGTGACATTATTCCATAATCTCCATGGTTATTAGAAGATGTACGGACACCATTACTATTGGTATTTCGATTACAATTGGCGGCATAAGTGTTCTATTACTGCCTGAAACATTGGGCGCCCTCTACCGGCAACCATGCATTTAGTTTGAACAACGAATACACAGGCAACGTTCCGCCTACGTGTTTGCTTCGGTCTTCAAACGCACTACTTCTCACCAGATTGCACAGTATTAGAGTAAAAACGTAGTATTTCTTATCTAGCAGTGGATCCACGGCGTTGTCCGCAATAGATCTTGCTATTCTCGGGTGGACATCCGGGCTTTTTCACCTCCTGGCAATTATCACGGTGAAAACAAAGATCGAAACTCTCAGAAACTGTACTTTGAAATAGTTGTTGAGACTCCCCTGAAAAGTGTAACAAGATTACCCCTACGTGTGCAACATATATAAATTCAGCTGCGTTCTAGAGCAGGTCGCACAGAACCCTTGGAAATACATGGTACAGTGGTGCGCGTCTTAGCAACGTATGACGTTCTCTGACGTAGCTCCGCCCCGAGGATAGCAACATGAGATGCGGATGTGCAAGAAAACGATTCACTGTTTTCGACTGAACAGATGACCCGAACGCAAACTATCATATGACCAACACTTCGACCTATCTGTAGAAATCTCAATTAATACTTCTACTTTTGCGCAATAATTCCCATGTGCAGGGTACGCATGCGCATTAGGTGCATTAGGTCTTACGAGTCCCCACGGTTTTGCACTTTGCAGATACCATGGCGGTGTTTGAGTGGACAGCCGACGACTGCCGACGTTATGTTTATAGAAGATAATATTTATCAGTCCGAGCAGCGTTTATTTATTTATAAACTACTATGACGTTATGTTTAAAACTCCAACACCGACAATGGCGTGGGTCAGGGCTATTTCAGTTCGAAGCATATATACAAATAAAAAAAAGATACGTCGATAAAAAAACTGCCAATAAGCTAGTTTAATCTATAGCTACTCGCTGATTGGTGACTGTTTCTGAGATTAGAAATGGTGCAGTGAGCGTCTTTTTTTATTTTTACTTTATACAATGTACATACGCGATAAGCCATCAGACTGTTATGAACTTGATATATTCATTCATTAGTAATTTATTTCTATAATGTATCAACTATATACATTGTATACAACAACAATTCACTACACAATCTGCAAATCTGTAGAAAAAAAACAAATAAATAAAAACATTGTTCTAAATAGCTGATTAACGTTTCATCGCCCTCTATCGTTCAAATTTTAAACATGTATCAGTGAATGGAACATTTACTCCGATAGAACGTGGGATTAACATGAACTTGAGTTTTTAGTGTCATGTGCTAAGAAAGATATTTATTTATTGCGTCGAAAATAACTCACAGTTACGATAAATCGTTTTAGCACAGTGTACAGTGATTATACTTCAGATCAGAAAAAGTTAAACGCCCTCCACGACGAAATGTTATACACATATTATAAATAGCAATATAAAATTGGGAGATTCGAAAGTCGAAGAATTTTATCTGTATTTCCGACCTGAATTCTTTCCCTATTACCGGAATCAGTGGAAGTGAATTCAAAATATAAACTTTAATTTTCAAGTATTAATGATGGGTGGTAACCGTAACTGCTTGTTTTCTCATGTGAAATTGAATACATTAATTTGCGCATACGTTGCTATGCCTAGTATGGGACGCGTAACGAGCGCACGCGGTCGCGACAGTAGATTTCAATTCTGAAATCACATAGGGCAAGGACATGCGTGCATATAGCACAAATGGACCACGCCCTAAAAACAGACGAACCATTAGCTTAAGTTAGTTTGCTACCATTAAAACGTATTGCTCACAAAATATTGCACAGAAAAACAAACATCCAGATAATTGATTAATTTTGAGCCATGCAATCTAAAAAGTCGCATTTGTTTTGAATAATTCAAATGTGGGACTGTAAAGATCGCTATAATTGATTTTTGTGATTACCGCAAGACCAAACGTTTAAGTTGGTCAATACCAAGACGATGTAGTGTCGGTGGTACCTATTAGGTACCTTGACTGTACATACATTTTGTATGAAAATGATGCAATCACGTGAAAAAAACGTGATTAATTCAGTAAACTTTCAGTAACCGGTCGATCTACACCAAACATACGCGTAGTCGCACATTACAGACATAACGGTCGAAACGAAATACTCACTCCTTATTTGCATATTGTATGGTAAGCTGCAGACACCCTTTGATCGAATTCTAATACCCCATTATTTTTTTTCGATACACGTACGACGCCAGCATGACCGCAACTATACCAATAGGGGCAATGAGAGCAATGAAAGATTGCGTGTTCCAAATCAGTCCTACTGAATAACCCAGCAGCGTGACTGAGATGAAAGTCGCGAATATGATTCGTAGTGGTATGGCACATAAGACTCTCTCTATTTTCAAACTTGGCGACACTGGTGGATTGTTGTCAACACTGTCATCTTCCGGTATCTCCAGTTCGGAAGCCACGTTCTCGGCCTGTGAAGAAATAAGCGACATAGAAGAGAAACATTACAAATACATGATCTGGTAGTAAATATAGTTAAGATTTGATAAATCGTTGGTTAGTATCCAGTGTAAGTAATAAACAAGAGATGAGCCTATATAATTTAAACTAAAAAAAAAAACAGACGAAAGGAATGTCAAATATCAGATTGAAGAACATTAATGGCTCTTTCAAGTTTCGCCAAAGACTTATCTTTATTTTACCGATATCGCTTAAATAAATCAAGAAAACTACACAAATTGACTACATTTACGAATAAATAATGGTTATACAGAATGCGCGGTACAGTTGGAGGTCCTTCCCTTGTCTATTTCTTACACTAGATACCAGCCGATACCCCCCCCCCCGCCAATAGAGACGAGATGTTCACTAGTTATTGTGAGAAGATTGTTGTTTTCAAAACACACCGCACCCTTGCCCTCGAGGACCATACATCTTCGTCTACTGCTTTGACTATGCATTGTAAATTATTTTGTCAATCATTCAATCGATTGTATTGTGTTCAAGTATTTGTAAAATGCCTATTGCATACCATAAATTTAAATACTAGACAAGTGGGAGTATATGCCAAGTTGTTTCCTCACACTCGAGTCAATCACATTTCATATTTACAAGACATAATCAATGAAAACATACCTCATCGTCATTTGTGAAATACCTATACCGTTGGCCCCCATCACGTGACTCCGTTCCACCATACACAGGAGAGGGTAATTCATTCGTAATATGACGATTCCTCCAATACCATACGACTTGCATACCATTAATGTACGCCATTGAACTCGAGAAGTACGCCATGATAATGTATTGCAACGGTCTTGTTAACAGGTAAGTTGACAGAAAATCTGTCGTTTTTCCCACTAAAGTAATGCAGACCGATAAAGTTGACTGTCCACTGGTTGATGTTCGTTGCATATTTAATATAACCTGTAAAAACGTAATACACGATACAAATAAAATTTATATTGTTATATCGTGTATTCTTCCTAGAATGGGTGCGCTTTAATTTAATACAAATTAAATTTGAAACCGTAAGTGGAAAATTTAGAAGGCAATGCGAAGATTGTGCCCGATTAAGCATTAACACCCGCAGTCAGGTCGAATCAGAGATTGGATTGCTTGCCTTGTATATAAGCTCAGACTAAACTGGAGTAGTAATGTATCATTATTTTTTTTGAAAACTCAAGCTAATTAAAGGGTGGAGGTCGTCGCGCTGCGCATGTGCGACGTTTGTCAATATAAACATTGATTTCCCCACAATCCAATGCGCTCTTTTAATGGGAATCACACGTATGAGGTTTGACCTGGGCGCGACTTGCAATAATTACCGCCGGTGACTCCTTCGATATCTCCAATTACCTAAACAAATACTTAATTAAACCTTGATGACGTCTCAGTTTGTAGTGGTTGATATACGCAATAGTCAAAATCGACATTTTTGTTTATATGATACCCATAAATCTCGCGCATGCGTGGCGCGACTACCGCCTTTAGGATAAGACCTTAATTAGTCTTTTTTTAATCTTATTTTTTCATATTTTTATTTATTTTGTATTTATTTATTTATTCATTTGAAGTACTATATTCATTTTATATAATGACATTTATTTATAAATTAAAAATCGAAATAAAAAAAATATGACATTCTCCGTGTTTGAATACACAGAGATATTAAACAAACAAACAAACCAGGCTATCTTAACTAAGCAAACACACGATAACGTGTCATATTTCGCATGTCTAGTTGATGTTTACATTATACATACCTTGCACACCGTAAAATGTCAACCCGTGTGTTCATTTATTTTATCGCAAGGGTACTTTGGATCCGGTATTTCTGGACTAAAACATATGAAAACCGCACAAAACATTGCAACCCGCGACGCGCTTGCATTGTCAATGTTGTTCAATCGTTAAATAGGTTTTTTCACGTTACATTCAAATACTGACCTGAGGAAAGGTTTCAATAGACCATAATACAATCGCAGCCCACTCCATTTCTTTGTAAATGCCTACAACCACTTCAAGTACAACGATTAACGACCAACAAACTAGACACACCAGTAAATATAACCACCTAAGTTTCTGATTATAATGCGTGCCGTAAATCCAAAATTGAGTCAACATCGACAGTTCAAGTGTAGGCATATAAATGGCGGAGACCTTCACGTATGCTGGTAATTCTTGAATACGAAACACAAAGAATACATTGATTAGAGACGCAGAGAAATTTGCCGTTGCCCATAGCACACTGAGTCCAACCACCGATTTCCGCCTCCAGTTTTTCACAATTTGCGGAAATAGAACAACAAACCATATCGCTGTGCTGATTAGTCCACATATATTAGCGAACTCGCAAACTGAAACGGGCCATTCTGATCGACAGTTCTGATGTAAAATATCCTCCGAGTCTGAATTGTTTGCGGTGTCGTTGAGCGAAGTCAACCACGCAGTCGAAAATACATGTTGTGTTTCCATAGAGCTGATTCAACGTGTAGCCGCTTTGTCGTCGTTCAACCCTTGAATCGCAGAGGCGTCTGACGGTGGCTAAATACTGACTCTACTCCCACATGCCTGTATGAGCTAGCCGTTTCTTAATACCTTCGGCGGTTAGCAATATCGCGTGCGAATATTTCCACGAAGGGATGAGAACCTACATTCTCAGTAACTGCCAGTGTGTGTCAACGCAAGCGTTAGTGGGTGTATTATCACGAACGACAATAGTGTTCGTCGAACAGTGGAATTAATGATATTCAACAGACAGGTCATGTGATCAGTTGGCAGTGAATTCAGAAGCCGTAGGAGCAGACAAAGACAAAAATGGTTTCTTATCGAATTCGTTGGTTTGACGGTCTGGTGAGGTTGTTTATCCTGCTTGTGCCGTCTTCAGGTGAGCTATTGGCCTTTTATATATTTACTAATCCTCAGACCGTGGTTAAAATGGATAAAGGTTCGGCCAGGGCTTACGCAACGATATTAAACTGCAGCAGAACTCTAAATGGTCAAACCCTGATTTTCTTTCTTATCTAAAGAAATGTCATGTGATTTGTCTCACAGAGACATGGGCCACTATAAATGACACATTTTCCCTTGATGGGTATAAATTCTTATGTAGTATTCGACCCAAGCATTGATATTTTTATTAGACGCATAAAATCCTTAGGAAAGGATAAAAAGGGTCTTACAGAAAGAAATTAAAAAAAAACAAAAAAACTACAATCTATCCTCAACTATATTTTGGCTGCACATATCACATGTTCTTTTATCTAGCCGCACATTATTATGTCTGCCTTTCTCAATTTTAAGGTCATGGTTGCTTGTCCTGAATTTTGCAATTAACCTTCTAAGACCATGGTTCTGCATATTAATTAGGTAATTTTCAATTTTTAAATCTTGTTTGAAAAGTCTGTATGTTCTTAGTTTGTTTTTAGCCAAGGTTAGTTTTCTATTATCATTATGCATGTCTAAGATCCATTGGTTCTCAAATGATTTGTTTATTTTTTTATGAATAAAGTCTAAATTTTTCTTAATTATTTTTTCACTTGAGTTTACAATGGTGACAACATCTAAATCTTGCATGA